GGGGAACTGGGCAGACGGTGGTGCCGTGCACGGCGCACAGTAGGTATTCAGCCCGTGGCTCTGGAATGATTAAACGGGTGATGATTCCTGGGTGGAGAAACCCTAGAAGAAAAGGCAGCTGTTGGAAACGGCCGTGGAGAAGGCAGGCGTCCCGTCCGCGCTGTTAGGTGGGGAGATGGGAATGGTTTGAGCGGTTTCTGGCCAGAAAACAGAGACGTGGTGAGAATGTCTTGTGTGCAGCCCAGCAGAGAGGCGTGGGAGTAAAAGAACGAAAGAAAAAGAGTTTGGGAACAATTCTTGACGTGCTCCAAGCACTTACTTCAGTAAGTCAGAAAGCGGCTTCCTTTTTAAGTGTTTGCAATTCTTATCCCAGGAGGAAAAAGCAGCCAGCAGACGCAGCTCCGTGTCTGCCCTCTGAGCGCCCTGGTGGGGATCCCTGCGTCCTTCAAGGTGTAGCTCTGTGTCAGGTGTTCTCAGCTGTAAAGGTGATGTAGTTAGAGTGGATTTGTAAATGAGGCCGCGTTTTTCTAAGACGGACAGCTTAAAAAGCTTCGCTGCCCTAGGTACAGATTTTAGCATGTGGTCTCGCCATGGGTCTTTCAGTCTTCTCTCAGAAGTCAGAACACCAAAATATGTTCATTTTTTCCTCGTCTCCTCTCCCCTGGCCTAGATCAGTAGAGAGATTAACCCATCCCACGTCTGTCTGGAATGTGTTATTTCTTTATGTGGCTTGTGAAGAGATATTTATGCTGCAAGCTAGTGGCTTGTGCAATTCCCGCAGCAAACCTGTGCCGGCAAAGACAGAAGCCAGCCTCTGGGTAGAACTACGGCCTCCCCTGCAAACACTGGCATTTGAGGGCGCGGTAAAAAACTCTTCCTGAGTCTGTTGGGCTTTGATTGCCTTCAGCTCAAAATAATCCACATGCCAAAGTGGCACTTTTTGGGGAGATTTGTTCTGAACCCCCTCATATGCACCTATCTTTGAAAATATTTGCGTGTCCTTTCTTTTCCATTCCCCAATGTGAGATGATATGTGCACTTGGGGAGACACTGTCATACAGTATGTTTTGTTATGAAAAATGTTGCTACAATAGATGTGGAGCCATTTAGGTACAAAATGTTTTTCACTGAGTCTACCAGTGAGTCTTAAACAAAGTTGAACTCTAGAATCAGAAATGGTGTGAGAATCCTGAACGAAAGTGTTTTGCTAGTTGAGATGCTTTTGTGAACTCACTGTTCCAGGGTTACGGCTGTAGCGCTGGTCACTGCTTCATCCTGATACGTGTTACATCTCTTCCAGGATGGCCGATCCTTGGCAGGAATGCATGGATTTCGCGGTGACCCTGGCGAGACAAGCAGGAGAGGTACGAGCTTTAATGTCAGCCGTAGCGTGAAGATGGGCTGCTTGTCGCTGCCTCGTTAAACACATCTGCACTTGCTTTCATTTTACTCAGCACTTCAAATGGAGTGAATACTCCACTTTTATGTCATACACCTTTTGTGAGGACACTTGTGAATCTAAGGATGTAAGATGTATGATTTTGTACCTAGAATGTCATGCCCACTGAAGGCTTATGTTATAAACCTCGTGATAAGAAATGTTTAAGAATATCACTTAAGGCAGACTGAATGTGTTTTAAACTATTTCTGTATTTCATTTCTTTAGTTGGACTAATAACTACTTATGCTTTTTCTGTTTGCTTACCAAAAAAATCTTTTTAGGTAGTTCGTGAAGCTCTA